TTTTTTTTTGTTATCTCTATTCAAGCGGACCACTAAATCAGTTGAAAATCTAGATTGTTATTTTGCTATGCTGTTAGTCATTCGGCATAAAAAGTCTTTAATTTGAGTAAAGTTCAGCTTCAATTTTTCATTGCCGTTTCTCTCTTTAATGTTCTGAATTCAAAAAATTTTGAATTTTTAAGAAGCCTTGTTTAGCTTTCTTTATAGAATCATTATTGCTCTTCTTCTTACTATTTTTCTGACTTCTTAACAACAGTTAAGACTGTATAATCGACCGACAATACAGGGATGTCTACCAAAGCAACGGGACTCAAATAACGCTCAATGTCCTCATTTTCAATCTTACCTTCTTACCGTACAGCTATTGTCATTTTAGAAAGAAGTGGTGTATACAGTAAGCTCTTTAGTAAGGTAATATTTATTTGCCGAAACTTTTATGTTGTTATTTGTAATTATTTAGCAGTTTTTGAAAGAAAAAAAGAATTTTTATTGGAACTCACGGGTTTTCATGATGAAAAGAACACCCCAATAAACAGACCAAACACAACCGACAACCAGTGGAAATGTGACGAACTGTATCAGTGCGGCCAACAGATTCATCGAAAAAGAATACAGTTTAGAACAGTTTTCAATTTTTGCACAACAGAGGACGCTGAAACTGCATAACAAAGTACCTGAAAAAAGAAGATTGGCAATCTGGCAGAATGAAGAAAAGAAAGAAGCTGTTGATGAATAAAAAGTTTATTAAAAGTGACATTATTTTACGGGACGACCACAAACAAAAATACGCACTCTTAAGCACAGCACCTATATATATATATATATATATATATATATATATATATATAATATATATATATATATATATATATATATATATATATATAAACTATATATATATATATATATATATATATATATATATATATGCGACAGTTTTGTTGTCTTTTAGCTGTTAATTTTGAACATGCAGTGAGATTGGTAGTGAGATTTTTGTGAATTAAAGTAGAGTGAAATTTTGTAAAAGTTTTGTTGCTACTTTTTAATACTTTTTTTCTTTAATTGTTTATATTTTTAGTTCTCTTTGAACTGTCGAGGAGTAAGAATGATGATTACCGGAACCGGGAATAAAAATATTCAGGAGACAACATAGTCCAGAAAGTATCATTGGCATTACGGGTATTGCTCGACGAAATGCTCCGACATGCTGAAAAATTAAACAAATATGACTGTACTTCCAAATTTCATCTTATTCTCACATCTTCTTCTGTTACCTGTGATACTACTGTACAGCTTTTTACAGAAGAAATCAAACATTCAGTATACTTTGGAACTGTTTTCAAAAGTCATAACAGAAAATCAGTGTATTTAAATTATCGGTAATTTAAGAAGTGAAAAAGCAAAAATATGCAAACAGAAGGTACAACAAAAACAGAACAGAGACAGTTGACACACTGATTGTTGTTAATAATATTAATATTAGATAGTTGTCATTTCCTTTTCTCTCATATATTCTGTTTTTTTACAGCAAAAAAGCAAAGCTTTTTTTTTTTTTTATTATCAAATAATTGAATGTTTGAAATACAGATATTAAGGGTGAGTAAAGTTAGCGAAAAATTTCTGAAGAAATTCGTAGAAGTGTCTTTGTTTTATCAAATTATTTCACAGCATTTATCTGTTGTCTACTAGCGTTTATTTGGATGATAAGAAAAAAGAAATTTTTTCTTTTGGTGATTAGAGGAACAGAAAATTAGCATATAAAATGAAGGTTTGATGTGATGATGACGATGATGATAATGTTAAAGATGACGACAAATATTACTGCCTAGATAACCATTTCCAAGTTCCACAATATAGATTTATGTCATATTTGTCTTCATTATACACTTCTTTTCTTCAATTATTTTTTGTTTTAATAAATTTATTGCTTCTGCTAATTTTAGTGTGTTTATCCAGAGAAATATTTGATGCAGTACGAAACTGAACAGCAGTTGCAGTAAACAGGAAATGATAAAAAAAAAAACAACTAAAATTTATCCAAATTTGTTATACCATCTTTACCGTTTTTTTTTTGCTTTTTATCTGCTACAAAATATTCACCACGTTCATTTGTTTTTGTAAGACGGAAAAAAAAAACGGAAATGTTCTCAGTGCTGTTTTTTGATAAATTTTGGGCGCTAAAATACCAACAAAAAAAAAAAAAGTTGCGAAAAAAAAAGAAACCAATTGTGCTTTTATTCAATTAAATTCTTTCAGCAATTTAATTTAGTTGTTGAAACTTTGTTTGTTTATTTTCTCCTTTTTTTTCCTGCCTCTTTTTCAGAACAGAAGTTTTTTTTGTTGTAATTTTTTTTGCAACTGCCAAAAGATAAGGTGAAAAATGAACAGAAGAGGGAGGAAGGGGGGGGGGATGTAGAAAAAAAAAGAAGGTATAGAAGAAAATGGAAAGAAAAAACAGAACAAATATTTTGTACTTAAGACTTTTTCAAAAAATTTTTTGCAAAAAAAAAAGTTACTTTTTACTCTTCACTATTTTGTCTTTTCTCCTCTTTTTTTTTTTTTGCCGATTTTCTTCATAAACTCGTTTTTGCAATAAGTTTGAAAAAATCTTATGTAAAAATAGAAACGTAAAAGATTGTTTGAGTCAAAAAAGACAAAACTATGTTAGGCTGTTATTTTTGGTGTTACTTTGTCGTATTACTATTGCTTTTCTTATTTCTTTTCTTTTTTTTTTTTTCGCCTAAGAATTGAATGCAATTAGTAGATGAAATTTGAATTGTTGAAAAAGGAAGGAGCAAAAAAAAAAGCCTGTTTTTAGGTTTCATCAAACATCTGTTACCTGTTCACAGAAATACTTCAGAAACTTTAAATTATGTGCATTGTTCATTAAGAGCTCTAATTTTGGAACAGTCAGACGAAAGCAACTGAAAAAAAAAAAAACAGAAAACGGGAACACAGTATCAGTTGACTGTAAACGGTTATTACAGAACTGTTACAAACAATTTTACAGTATTCAAAACGACAAATTTGTATGCACTGTTCATCGGTTTTGATGCTTTTATTGTTGCCCAAATATTACTGTTCGTGAAAAGTCTATTGATAATTGCTTCTTTTTCTTCTGTTTATTTTTTGGCTATTACCAATCTTTTTTTTTTTTGGTATCGTTTGTGCAAAAAATTGATCTCTCTCTCTGAATTGATAATATAGTATTATCATTTGTCTTACTATTGATCAGATCAGATGACTCAGATTGTTTGATCAGCTATAAATTTTAGTCGACAAAAACAGCAGTAACAGTATCAGTGTATCAGTATCAACACCGACAATAAAAGCAGCACCATCATATGATTAATTTCCTCTTTTTTTTTTTTTTT